AACCAGTGAAGAGCAGAGGTGCCATACGCACAATCAGAGAACACTGTATGAACATCAGAGGTCCGCGGTTGTTCAACGTCCTCCCATCGAGCATAAGAAATATTGCCGGAACAACCGTGGACATCTTCAAGAGGAAACTAGATTTATTCTTCCAAGGAGTACCGGACCAACCGGGCTGTGGTGGGTATGTGGGCCTGCGGGCCGCTCCAAGCAACAGCCTGGTGGACCAAACTCTCACAAGTCAAACCTGGCCTCGGGCCGGGCTTGGGGAGTAGAAGAACTCCCAGAACCCCATCAACCAGGTAACTGGGGTTATGCTACACTGTTAAACTGTACCACGCCAATTTGGGCTATGGCATGTCCCCGCAAAGTTATGGGCGCTGTAACTAAGGACACGGTACAGCCTTGAGGATACGGTGTATCATTCCCAAGAATTAATACATTAACTCTGATCGCTAGAACTCGGTGGAAGGTGCAGCAACACTAGATAAGACAATACTGATTGGGCACACACGTTACAAATGCAGTGACATTGGTAAGTACGGTACAGCAGTGAGAGGCTTATAGGGATATGGTACAACGTGGGTGTACGTGGTTAAGGATACGGTACAGTGACCACTAGAAACCACTTCCCACGCTGTCGGGCTGTCTGGACCACCATCGCCGCCCCCCGCCGCCCGCGCCTCCGTCACCGCCCTCATCAGTGTTCCCGCCCCCCGCCGCCCCAAGACTAATAGGCAACAAAGTATATTTTGTCATCCTTATATCGGACATAAAGACAAACTATACTACCGTATCATCCTTTGTAAATGACACTAGGATTTGTATGAGGGTAGACAATGTAGAGGACACGGCAAACCTCCAAACTGGTGTAAATCAGGTCTTCTAATGGGCCACAGACAATAACGTAATGTTACGGTTTAATAACAAAAACAGGTTCCAGCTCCTGTACTATCCTGAGATGAGGTTATCTTGAGATGATTTCGGGGCTTAGCGTTCCCGCGGCCCGGTCCTCGACCAGGCCTCCTTTTTGTTACACACCCCCAGGAAGCAGCCCGTAGCAGCTGTCAAACACCCAGGTACCTATTTACTGCTAGGTAACAGGGGGCATCAGGGTGACAGAAACATTTTGCCCATTTGTCTCCGCCTCCACCGGGGATCGAACCCGGAACCTCAGGACTACTAATCCGAAGCGCTGTCCACCCAGCTGTTAGGCGCCCCTTTACTATGGTATAAACAGCAAATATCAAGACGGAAACCCCATATAAAACGTAGTCAAATCATACACGAGAAAGAAAACAATATAAAAGTATTGTAAGCAACATGGCAGAAGACCTAATTTAAAAGAACACAAGAGTATCACAACCGGTTGGATCACAAGAACCTGTCAAACAACAGATGTCACACCAGTGTTGCTACTTTTTAAGTCTAGTGCTCTCTAGTGGAATATTGTTACACACTAACGACCCCATTCAAAGCTGGAGAAGTTGCTGACCTGGAGAACGTGCAGAGATCTTTTACTGCCAGAATACATTCACTGAAACATCTAAACTAGCGGGAGAAATACATACAAATTTATACTTGGAAAATATTAAGAGAGATGGGTTCCAAACCTGAACACGGAAGGAAGTGCAACATATCCCCGTTGAAAAGTAGGAATGCAACTGATACGCTAAGAGGCGGTTCTGTCAACATCAAGGGCGCTAGATGTGTCAACATTCTCCCTCTAAACACAAGGGGCATAACTAGCCGACCTCTCGCTGTGTTCAAAAGATAACTTAATCAACCCCTCCAATGGATACTTGATCAGCCGGACTGTGATTCATACGTCAGCAGGCCTGGTCAGAGACTGGACCGAGGGGACATTGCTCCCCGGAACTCATCAGGGTAGACACAAGATAGTTGGTGGCACCCATCACCGCCCTGTACTGGGAAACACTCGCCCCTTCCCACATAATTGCACCATAAATAGTCTCTCTATAAATACCGTGCGGTGATTGGCCGCGAGAACATAGTGGACAGGTCAGCACAGAAGCCAATTTACATGTGACGTAGGGTCGTTAAAGCCTTAAGTGAGGCGTAACTTTAAACGACGCCTCATACCTGGTGCCATTCACGTGATCTTGTGAGGGCCTCGTCTCTCTTTATTCATCGTGTGTTCTTCCCTATATAAGTTTGTGGAGACTGATCTCCAGCTACTGGGCCCCGCCTTGAAGGTGCTAGTCATCTGATTTAAGACGACTTTTACTACTCACCAAAATGTGCTTGAGGGGTTTATCTTGGAGCTTACCTGTAGTCGGTTTCGAGAGTTATACTCCCCATGCCGGTCTGGGGCCATGCGTGTCTGTGATGATTTGCCTGCTTGCGAGTGAACGGTCAGTAGTCACTCTGGCCTGGGAAAAGTTCACTCTGGCCTGGGAAGTCTCTCTCCAGGTCTCCAAGACAATGGTTAATTACTCCATGTTTTCTTATCATATGTGCTTAAACTATCAAGAAGTTCAACTTCTTTACTACTCAACAAATGAAATTCTTCTTGACTAAGCGCATTTACCTTCAATTTTCAACCGTGTTCTTCCCTGCTATATTAATCCCTCTTACAATCATGTACTTCGTTATCATGTCTCCTCTCGCTTCATCTTTCATCTTGTGAGGTTTAGTTCCTTTATCCTCCACCACTTCACTGCTTAATGCATTCCATCTGTTAACTACTCTGACACTGAAAAGTTTTATACCACAAACAGCTCCTGTGCCAGGGTAAGTCCACTACGGGCTCATCATAACCTGCTCAAACAATTATGTATTAGCGATAAGACCTACCATGAATGTATAATGACTTACTGTAAATATATAGCTCTTGAAATAGAACATTTTCTGTAACTAGCTAACATGTAACTATAAGGTGTGAAGGATAGATGACATTGTTTATGTAATAATCTAAGATGAGGTCTGATAAAGACCTTTTGTGCCCTCTGTAATGCTTTTGCGCTATCGCTCATAGGATGAGTATAGGGTGCACAATAAACTAGCCGCCTCCGGCGGCAGCAATCAAACTACGGGCTCACCATAGCCCGTGCTACTTGTAACGTTTTGTTCCAAGTAGCTGAATCTAAATCAACATCTGAAAAAGTTCTTTGCAACGTTCCTGTGGCTCATTTGGGTATTAAGTACTTACACAAGTTTCTGAAGTAAATTCTAATGTTTACCAGCCTTGCATACGCCGCTGATGTTATACTTTTGATGTGAGCTTCAGGGGACAAGTGTGATATCAACCCGTCACTCACACAATCCACACACACACACACACACACACACACACACACACACACACACACACAAAAAAAAAAAAAAAAAAAAAAAAAAAAAAAAAAAAAAAAAAAAAAAAAAAAAAAAAAAAAGTTAGTAAACAGTTGATTGACAGTTGAGAGGCGGCCCGAAAGAGCAAAAAGCTTAACCCCCGCAAAAACACAACTAGTAAACACAACTCGTAAACATAGACACACACACAAAACCTGATGTATATGTGTGCATGTACTATTTGTATCTGCAGAATCGAAATATTAGCTCTTGGACCCCGCCTATTATATCTCTCTCTCTCTCTCTCTCTCTCTCTCTCTCTCTCTCTCTCTCTCTCTCTCTCTCTCTCTCTCTCTCTCTCTCTCTCTCTCTCTCTCTCTCTCTCTCTCTCGTGTCTGTGTCTCTCCTGTCTGCCCCCCCCCTCCCCGCGGCAGGTGTTGAAGATAACAATAAAGCTGAGAGTGTAAGAGAGCATTAACTTTACGATGGTGCCCTCACACTCCACAATGGTGACCAATGTATCCACACTAAGAGACCAAGGGGCCCCGAGGCCGTGCCAAGTCATCTGGGAGGCCAGGCGCTGTGGCACCACCTTCTGGTCCACCAGTCATAATCTTCACAAAATATGCTCTACGGCCTCCACGCACCTTCCAGGAATTTCGGGTTCGATTCCCGGGGGGGACAGAAAGGACTAAGGCAGTCATAGTATGTCACATATGCACGTATTTAATAAGTCAATATTGACTATAAGAAAGTGCGAGAACGGGTTGGTTATTTTGTGTACTTGATGCCTCTTCACCTAGCAGTAAAATAGGTCCCTGAGCGTTAGACCTAACTGTCTAAAATTGGGTTGTTAAACAGTTGGTTAAACCCTAAATAACTTGTGGGTAGCCTCCTGGAGGAGTGTCGGGGGTATTCAATGTTTGGACCTGCGGGATCGAGCCGTTAGCTCTCGGACCCGCCTTCTAACCTTCAGTTCTCTAATATACTGACTACCTTTTTCTTCTCTGTCATTTCTACTACATTTACATTCATTCATTCATTCATTCTCTCTCTCTCTCTCTCTCTCTCTCTCTCTCTCTCTCTCTCT